CCAAGAACCTAGCCATAGCGGCTTCCTCAGTCTCAACTAAACCACAACGTAACATGCCCATTTGTAATTCTTGATAATAGTCTTCCACAAATTTAGATCCTTGGTTCAAGCGTTGTAGTTTATTTAGCAAGTCACGTTCATAATATCCAAGAACAAAACGGTGATGCATTACTAATTTCAAAGCTTCCCAAGTGGCAGGAATATTATTAGGATGTTTACGACAATGTGCTCTCCACCAAACAGAAGCAAAATCACTAAACTCACTAGTTGCAACCCTAACTCTTTTATCATCAGGAAAATCATGGCAAGCAAATTTTTGATCAACTAGTAATTCCCAGTCAAGATAAACATCTGGATCATATTTCCCATCAAAAGGAGGCATGGCAAATTTAATTCTACCCAAAGAATCGTCATGGCCACGTACCTGAGGACGCTGGTGTCGTCCCATACCTTGTTGATTATTGCGTAGTCGACGATGATCACGATCATTGTTATCATTAACTGCATCAGGATCCTCAGAATCACCATCATAGTTGTCATCTTGGATGTCGTCGGCTATCGAGTTGGCGTTGCGAGGACGGGGCTGGTCGACGGCATCGGTGTATGAAAGAGGGTGCCCCGGGTCTCCTGGGAGTACCCGACGAGCTCGTTGCAGACCTGTGTTGGTGGCTGGAAGATGCGGAGCGGAAGTGGAGGCGGCACCTAGACGGGCATCTTGGGCATCAAGACGTTTCATAATAGATGCAAGTGTTTGGGTGAACGTCTCATTGCTATCCTCGATCGACTTGAGACGCTTATCAAGTGCGCCCTCGAACGATGTGAACCGCTCGGTGTATGCATGCACATCCTCCTCAAGGCGTGCCACCGTGGCTTTCATGTTGTCTTCGTCACCTGCCATGGTTAGGATGGAACAAGAACAAAATCACAAGTATATTGCTCCTACAGTAACTATAGTGAGGCGGTGGAAAATGTCTCTCAACTCTCGAGCAATTACCAAGCTCTTACCAGTTCTTACCGTGCTACAGTGGTTGTCGGCCGTTGGCGATGTCAAAAGTGATCAAAAGATTGATATAGCGATTACCAAGGGACCGAACAAGATACGATATAGGAAGTGGAGCTTGGTGAAGGTTTCCTCAACTCACAATATGTGGCACAATTAAGCAAAAAGTAATGCAAGCTGAATAATTGCTCAAACTCCTAACTAGTGCTGGCAGTCGACTAGTAAGAGATAAAACAATCTAAGCCTAGATACTGAAACAAGTGAGTGGAAACCGATGAAAAATATGATAGCTCTAAGTAGCTAGATATAAGTGAGGCATAAATGCCGTGTATAATAAAGCTCGAAAGCAGATGATAAATGACGCGGCGATGAACACTGTAGTAGTAAAATAATGTCCAGAAAAGAAAATATCAGCCCAAAACAGATGCTAGCCGGCCTGATTTTTTTTTGCAACTTTTTCTTTTAACTTTTCTTTTGATTTTTTTCACTCTTTTTTTCTTTTTTTCTTTTTTTTTCTCTTTTTTTTGAGGCCGGTTGCTAGCAGACGTCAGGGACACAAAGCAAGGCTACTGGACAAAGGTGCTACGAGAGCTAGCTATACGTGCACTGGTGTTGAGATTACCTAAAACTAGTAGTACTAATGCACAGAAACAGTAGGCTGCTGGTGGAGAGTGGTGGTTGTGGCGCGTGTGGAGGCAGACAAAGAGATTTGGATGTCTAGCGTGGTGCGTGTGGTGAAGCGGCGCTGGCAGGCTCTAGCAAAGCAAGCGCGTGGATGGATGGGCGGACGTACGGTGTCAGACACGGATGATTGTCTGTCTGGCCGTAAGCTGCTGCTGTGCGACGGTGATTTTGTGCGATCAAATCATCGACTGATAAAAATATAGCAAAGAAAAACACAGGCGTCCGGAGGTAATAAGAATCGGAAACAATTGATCGCAATATTTATTTATTTTTTGATCGTGAACGAGCGGAAGGGATTATGTGGGTGGACAAAAACAGATTGATCTAGTAGATAATTTTACACCCTAACCAATCTAAACCAGCACTAATTCTAGGACGAATGTAACCAAAAATTCAACGATGCAAATACTAGATGCAAAAACTGCTAAAGGCTAAAAAGGTAGGTGCGATGGATGAACTAATCTAATTTTTTTTGGCTTTTTTGTGGGTCTATGGGACAGAAAATAACTAATCTAATAAAACTGTAAATCTCTCACCGATGGACCTGAAAACTGATACCACTTGATGTGACGGCGGCCCAATCTTTCGATGAGAGTGGGGATAATTATCGATTTGGTGGATTTTGACCTTGACGATCCGGCTATACCGTACCCGACGATACGCCTCGACAATCGCTAAACTAATCTCCGATGGTTATTGACCTTGCCGTAGGCACGATCAACCTGAACAACGAGGTTCAAGTTCCTGCAAGCAACCGAAGAACCGGCAAGAACAAAGGTGAATTGCAACTGAAATTGCGGATGATAAACTGAGCACACGAACTAGATAAAAAGTTGGGGTTCCACTATGGATCTGACAAGGCGGTAGTCCTACACGTCTCGTAGATGCAAAATTGTAGCGATGGCTAAACAATACAATAAAACCCGAGTCTAAACCCTAAACTATAATAGCTATTTATTAACTGCTGCTTCCGGTCGAAGGCGGTATCTGTTGTCCACAAATCGGACTGCTCGAGGCCGTACGTGGCTGGTCTTCGTAGACTTTGCGGCAAGCACCTGGCGGCCTGGCCGAAAGCTCTATGGCCCACCCACGTGGTAATGTTGGGCCATTAATCCAAGTCTCTTGTCCTGGTGCACTTCATGCATGCGTACGTGACATGCTTGATGGATAGGACGTGTGACATGCATGCAAGAGCGTTGCTCCATTTGATCTGAACCCATATTGTCTTTATCTTTAATCTTTCCTTTATTCTCAAGTACAAGCAAATCCAGACATGAGTGTAATATTATATTCTTATTAGTTAAATCATATGTACGAAGAAGCGATAGTACCTGGCCATTAATTTGTCTCGCCCGCGCTCTAGTAATAGGACCAAGTGGAATAACTGATGTAGGAGTTGCGGCGGGTGTAACAATAGAAGAGATGTCCTCATCACAAAATATCGAACACATATATGATTCCCTTACTGGTGTCACTTATTACTATGGAAGGCAAGTGATCACATATACTTGTTACTATGGAAGGCGAGTAATTATAGTTGCAGATGCTTGCGGAAGGGTTAATCATAAGTAGGAGGTTTGTTCAAGTAAGAACAACACCTAAGCACCGGTCCACCCACATATCAAATTATCAAAGTACCAGACACAAATCGAACCAACATAATGAAAGCGACTAGATGAAAATTCCGTGTATCCTCAAGAACACTTTGCTTATCATAAGAGACCGTTTTGGCCCGTCATTTGCCTCAAAAGGATTGGGCTACATTGTTGCACTCTTGTTACTACTAGCGTTACTTGCTCGTTACAAATTACCTTGCTATCAAACTACTCTGCTACTTATAATTTCAGCACTTGCAGACATTATCTTGCTGAAAACCAATTGTCATTTCCTTTTGATCCTCGTTAGGTTCGACACTCTTACTTATCGAAAAGAGTTACAATTGATCCTCTATACTTGTGGGTCATCAAGGCTATTTTCTGGCGCCGTAGCCGGGGAGGGGAGCGCCTTTGGTAAGTGGAATTTAGTAAGGAAACATTTATATAGTGTGCTGAAATTTATTGTCGCTTGTTACTATGGAAAACAATCCTTTGAGGGGTTTGTTCGGGGTATCTTCGCCTCGACCGGAAACACAATTAGCTACCCCTCAACCTACTGCACCTACTGAAAATATTGAATATGAAATTCCTTCGGACATGATAGAACAACTGCTAGCTAATCCTTATGCATGGTTATACCCTATGTCCATCATGGATCAAAGCAGTTTTTAAAAGTCGAAGACCATATATTAAATAAACCAGTCCTTATAAGAGCTTATTACATGAATAATAGTGCAGTCTTCGTTCTGCATCCACTGAGGCGTATTGAACAAAGCTCATTTTCCTATAGGCCACTGTCTCACCGGAGCAACCTTATTGCAACCTAAAAGATTGTAGAAGTAGCGGTCAGGAAGTCATCGATGTAAGCCAAAAGACGCCGACAAACGCGAACTGGATATATCATCATCCCGGAGAAGCCGACACCAAGAAAGGGTAGAAGATAATCCTTACCCCGACTAGAATGAGAAGAGAGACAAATCTCAGAAGTTCCCCGACGGACTCGTATTTGGCTGAGCTTCATTGAATAGAGATAAGGCTGAAGAACAAATAACACATTATAACGCTATCGCTCCATGTGACATCGCGAGCAAACACTAATCATGCAAGATCGAGTGTGCGGCGATCACAGTATCCTCCGACTTGTCAACATCATGCCAAGAAGGGACATCAACATAAGAAAAACTGAGGAACGATTATTACAATCGACGCTTCGCCACTGCCCCGACTTCATCAACGATAAAGAACTCGTAGACCCTTTGGCATCCAACATACCTCATTAAAACCTATTTTCGGCGGGAGACGAAGTTTCCATGGACCGCGAGGCATGCGTCTACTTGTCATTAGGCATTTTCTATTGAAAAAAAAGGGGGAAAGTTGTGGCCTAAACCATGGATGGAATAGCACTACCTCTGATTGGACGCTCCAGATCTCCCCAGCGCGGATCAAGCGGCTGAAACAATCGCGATGAGGTGTCGCGGAAGAAAACTGATTAATCTCCTTTTCCAACCCCGTCAGCCAGTCTCGTCCCTTGATCTCATCCCCTCCCTTCCCTGCCCTGCCCGCCGCAGCGTCATCTCTCCGTTCTCCACTCGCCGTGCCGTCGCCGGTCTTTCCCCCGTACCTCCCGTGCGCCACCGCCCCATCCCTCCTGAATCCAGACTAGGCCCGACTGAACTCGCGTGCGAACGAGCCGGACGTCTCTTGCTCCGCCTACGCGCGCGATGGCCAACCCGATGTACGGCTCCGGGCCGCTTCGATCCAGGTACGCCCCGTCCGATCCCCGATATCATGTCGCCCAATTCGCGCCCTCTGCTGTTCGAATCGATCTATTTGTCCTCGGAGTCCGTGACGAATTTGGGGTTCCTTCGGAAATCGCAGGAACGCGTCGAGCTCGGACGAGATCCAGCTGCGGATCGACCCGGTGCATGGCGATCTTGACGAGGAGATCGACGGGTTGCACTCGAGGGTTCGCATGTTGAAAGGCGTAAGACTTCCATCTCCTTGCCTCCTTTGTTCTAAGCCGGTTCATGAATTCTGTTTGGTATGCTCAGTTTAGGTCTTAATTGCAATTTTGACCTTCGAAACTTATGTTGTGTGCGCGGTTAAGCATGAATGGCAAATGTTTTATGTGATTTTATGTGACGTTCTAAGACATACTTCGTGGTTCCCAATTTATTTATTTTACCGTAATTCCATCCATGATTTAGTTCTTGGTGGTTGTGCGGCCTGTACGAGTTCGTTTAAGATAGTTTTATGTCTTTAAACCAAGATGAACTCGGAGTATATGTCAATTAGATTAGAACCATCTCAGGTTAACACGGGAGATTGATTGTATGAGTCGACACCATATGTAAGTAGTTTATTTATTTAGCGAGTACCAAATATTGTTTATATATCAGTCTCACAGCAAGAAATTTCATAGTTGGTCTGATGTTAATGGATTTGGGTTGTATGGAAATGCAATGTATAACCTGGTTTAATTAAGTTCATACCCACTTTAAGTCTCTTGCCCAATCATCATGGGCCCAGTACATCTTAAGACACTGCCTTCATATGTGTCATACCTTTCTTTGCGGCATTCCATCTGTCTTATTATGGGTGTGTTTGGTTGATGGCTTGATGCCGACACTAGCCTTACCAAATGTTAGCTTGCCAATTTTTTGGCCAGGGAATTCCTCACCCTCATTTGGCCAACTATTTGCCCAAAATCTGTGAGATGAAGGGGTGCACCCATTGGCAACCAAAATTTAATAGGTAGCCAATTTTTTGGCAGGGCTAGTGTGGGCAGCAAACTAAACAGACCCATATATACTCCTTTGTTTCTCATCGTCACTTCCCTAGTCCATTATTAGTGTTTATGGTTAACTTCTTGTGGGATGCTCATTGACCCATACCTTCTCTGATATACTGCCACGTGCATGCAGTGTTTCCTGTTAACCTTCGCATAGAATTAACTCCATTGGTTTTCTGGTTTTAGGCCTATAAACAGTCTTATGAGTTGGTGTGAATTTGCCGATGGCTGGTTGACATCATGACTGATACTTTTGTTCCTGTAAAATTAATCTTGCAACCATTGAGATGATATTATGTCTAGGTTTTTAATTCATACAATTTCAACTTTTAACAAGCAATGGATTTAGTACTTTGATAGAGAACTGCCATGTTCTGATCAATTATTTGTTCTAGTTAAGCTGTTGATGCTGGCTTTTTCTTCACATTTCAAAAACTTATTTGTTGTTTGACGTGGTCACTTTTCCAGGTCGCCCAAGAGATAAACTCCGAGGCTAAATTTCAGAATGATTTCCTCAACCAACTGGTATTGTTGCTGTTCTATCATGATTCTTTTGTGGTATCCTTGGTTATTTATGTTTTTTCCTGAATGGTTATAACATGTTTATTGTTTTCCATGTGCACTTGTGCTTTCCTACCATTTATATACCATTTTTAGATGTACGTCTATGTGTGCTAGAGAATACTCCGTTGAGTCAATTACCGTGTATATATGACCTAGAAGATCCATTTGATCTACACTACTACTCCCTCCGTTCCTAAATATAAGTCTTTCTAGACATTTCAAATGGATTACAACATACGGATGAATGTAGACATATTTTAGAGTGTAGATTCACTCATTTTGCTCCGTATGTAGTCACTTGTTAGAATTTCTAGAAAGACTTATATTTAGGAACGGAGGGAGTACTAAATACAGTTTATATATTGATTTTGTTGCTTTGAAATGAAGTATTTTTAAAAATAGTTTTTTGTTTAAAATGTCTATAAGCCTGCAATTGAACATACAAAGTCCAAATTGGTGTATATATTGTTTGAATGGACTATCTATACTGTTTTAATGGTTAATATTACCTTCTGCAAAAGCTGGATACAATTACTTTATGGACTATTTGTATTGTTTTATGTGAGTAATATCACCTTTGCAAAAAAAAATCTTTTTCTTTTCTTTCTTAAACAATGGTTATTCTTGGTTGTGCACTGATTTTTTGGTACCCTCTGTTTATGAACAGCAACTGACCCTTACGAAAGCTCAGGCTGGAGTGAAGAATAACATGCGAAGGATGAACAAAAGCATCATCCAGCAGGGCTCCAATCATATTGTCCATGTTGTCCTATTTGCTCTGTTATGTTTCTTTGTTGTCTATCTTTTGTCAAAGTTCTCTAGAAGATAGTTATTCTGTTAGGTGAAGCCAAATCGAATCAACTGAAATGTACCATGTGTTGTATTTAGTCTGAAAAAAAGTGTGTCGCGAGTAACGAAATGGAATGGAAAATGGGACTGGACTGTTTACATGGTATATTTGACTTGAGAACAAGTTGTGTATCCAGCTTCCTGTCATGAAAGAGAGACCATTTCACAACTTCTGGGCTTGTAAGATATATTTCATGCATGAACTAGAGTGTTTTTGGCTTGATGAACTTCTGCGAATCACCACGGCATCCGGTATCATAATTTGATCTTCAAAAAAAAGGAGATTGACTAATGACGTCACAACTCAGAATAAGACGCTGGGGCGGTCGAGAGGAGCAGGTTGGAAGATAAGAACACGGGCACCGACTGACGTACGTGTGCCGCCACGCGCACCGCCGTTTGGACTTTGAGGAGGGACATGCGTCCTCCCCTTCCTCCTGCATGGCTGCCACCTCGCAATGCTCCCCATCGCCTATATTTGATGACGCCTCCGGTGCAGGACCGACTACCGAGCAAGGTTTCCATACGTACCATGGCTGCCCGGCTCGTCGTCCTCCTAGCGCTCGTCCACGCCGGCGTGTCCGCCGAAGACGTCATCCGGCAGGTGACGGACGGCGGCCACGGCGCTGGACGCCCCGGTCTGCTCCCGGAGGCGCAGTTCGCGGCGTTCGTGCGGCGACACGGCAAGCAGTACTCGGGCCCCGAGGAGTACGCGCGCCGGCTGCGCGTGTTCGCGGCCAACGTGGCCCGCGCAGCCGCCCACCAGGCGCTCGACCCGGGCGCGCGCCACGGCGTCACGCCCTTCTCCGACCTCACCCGGGAGGAGTTCGAGGCGCGCCACACCGGCCTCGCCGGCGCCGGCGACGTCCTGCGCAGCGTGCGGGGGATGCCCGCCGCGGCGCCGGCCACGGAGGAGGAGGTCGCCGCGCTGCCCGCCAGCTTCGACTGGCGCGACAAGGGCGCCGTCACCGATGTGAAGATGCAGGGCGTGTGCGGCTCGTGCTGGGCGTTCAGCACAACCGGCGTCGTGGAGGGCGCCAACTTCGTCGCCACGGGGAAGCTCCTCAACCTCAGCGAGCAGCAGCTGGTCGACTGCGACCACACGGTGCGACATCATCAACTCAATTCAATCGCCCGCCTGATTTCATCTTCTTCCTAGCTAAACAACTCGTGGAAATGTGCAGTGCGACGCGGTGGCGAAGACCGAGTGCAACAGCGGCTGCTCCGGCGGACTGATGACGAACGCTTACAAGTACCTGATGAGCTCCGGCGGGCTGATGGAGCAGGCGGTGTACCCCTACACGGGAGCGCAGGGGACGTGCCGGTTCGACAGGAGCAAGGTGGCAGTCCGCGTGGCCAACTTCACCGCCGTGCCGCTCGACGAGGACCAGATGCGGGCGGCGCTCGTCCGCGGCGGGCCCCTGGCGGTGGGCCTGAACGCGGCGTTCATGCAGACGTACGTCGGCGGCGTGTCCTGCCCGCTCATCTGCCCGCGGGCGCTGGTGAACCACGGCGTGCTCCTCGTCGGCTACGGCGCGCGCGGCTTCTCGGCGCTGCGGCTCGGGTACCGGCCCTACTGGCTCATCAAGAACTCGTGGGGGCAGCAGTGGGGGGAGGGCGGGTACTACAAGCTCTGCCGCGGCCGCAACGTCTGCGGCGTCGACAGCATGGTCTCCGCCGTCGCCGTCGCCCCGTGATCGGCAAACGACGACGACGACCGGCGTAGTACGTGTTCATGTAGTTGTTCGTTAGCCTAACGGTATATTAGTAGGGCTTAATCAGTGGACACTGCACTCAATATTGCCACTTCAAAGTTCAAACATACTAGAAGCGCTTGTATACGTTCTCTCTTGGATGCCGTGGAGGTCTCAAGTCTCAACCCTGATGGCTTTACCGGCTTATTGGCCATTTGTGGCCGCTGAGATCTACCGTCAAGACAGTGAATGTCCAAATTCAAGATCTTGCATGTCCAAATTACAAGAAGATAACAAATTTTAAGTCCACTGACATACTCATGCAGGTCGGTTCAAAATATTTATGCTGAGTATAACCAGAACAAAGATCACTAGCATTCGCAACTTCAAAGAATAATTTGATGGATCATGTTGGATGCTACACTAGCAAACAAAAAATTTACTAAGCTTCTCAATGGATAGGTGTTCAGAAACGTATACCCACCTCATATTGTACAGTTGTGCCGGGCATACGTATACCACGCGCATACAAAAAAGAAAAGAAAAAAGAAACTACCAGTTGCACGATCTACGCCCGCCCGCCGTTCCAAGTGGCCGATCCCGCCGTTCCAAGTGGCCGATCGCATCGCCGCATCTCACCGGCGTTGGACCCAAGTGGCCGATCGCTTCGCCGCATCTCACTGTCGTCGTCCAACGCCGCGGACGTGAAGGGCCCAACGTCTGACGCCGTCCGTCGCCTTTCACCGTCGTTGTCTGACGCCGCGGACGTGAAGGGCCCGACGTCTGACG